TTTGAAAAACATTATAAGATATTATATAATTTTAAAGTACTTAATGAATTTCGGTAATGCTAAGCAGGTTTTCGATATGTACCTGACAAGGGAAGTAATTCAAATAATGTTTTATGCCAATAACATCATTTAAATAAAATATTGTTTCATAGATTTTTTCACTGAAGGTCAATTTCTGTTATTTATGTACAAAAATGCAAAACTAAGCAATATATTTTATCTTGGTCCGTTTTTACGTGTTGATTCCGGTAATGAAGAAACCTCAACATCGCCTCTAGACTTACACCAAAGAAACGGCCTACGTACAAAGCTCTAGTCCGCCCCACAGTGGAGTATGCGAGCACTGTCTGGGACCCCCACTAAAAGGGAGACATACACTGTTTAGGCATGGTCCAACGACGTGCTGCACGGTATGTTAAAAACAAGTACCACAACAGGTCCAGCATCACAGACATGCTTGCAGACCTTGAATGGAAATCATTACAAGAACGTCACAAGGAGGCCAGACTGATCATGCTCTACAAAGTCATCAACAACAAGGTGGCTCTAGACAACTCACAACTCATACCCTCCAACTCCACATCTACAAGAAATTCACACAACCTATCCTTCAAGATTCCCTACTGCCGTACACAATACCGTCAACAATCCTTCTTCCCACGCACCATCAAAGACTGGAAGAGCCTACCTCCGGACGCTACGTCAGTCGGTACAATTGAGTCATTCCGTACTCATCTGTCCCAACTCTATATCTAAACCACACTCTTGTCCGTTTTTAACCTGCACTGTATATATTTCTCACTATTTTACTCTTTCTTTCCGTCTTGCGCATTAACCTGGCAGTAAACTTCAGTTAGTTGAAGGTGGCCAGTATATTGGAAAGAGAAGAAGATGAAAAGTTGATTTCGGTAAAGTTTCCGAAATCAAGTTGATTTCTGTATCGTAACGTACCCACCTGTGTGTAGGAATAACATCTACATTATACTGCTTAACAATCAATTCTGATTATGACTAGCAGGCGCGTTGTCAGGGAACTGTTAATAAAAGAAAGTATTTATATGCAAATTAAAAAGTTAAAAGAATAAAAGTTCTTCAAGACTATTAATTAAAAAGACAAATAGTGTGCAATTTAGAATTTATAGAAAGTTGGTCAAGCCTCTCAGTAAAGATGTTTAAACTGGGACTAGACTGAACAGTTAGAGGAAGGCTATTCCAAAGACGTATGCTCCTAGGAAAGAAAGAATTTGGATGATATTGTGTCCTACCAGTAGGGTATCAGGTAGTTCAGATTTCTTGTTTGAGTAAGGTGTTGATGGTCAACAAAAACAATGTTGTTTTGGATTTTATACAAGTAGGTTACAGCACTGATGTTTCGACGCTGTTCAATGGTTTGCCAATTAAGATCATTTATCATTTTTGAGACACTACTTGTATAGTCATAATCATTAAAAATGTATCTAGCAGCTGATCTTTGTACTTGCTCTATCTTATAAATTTAGTATTTCTGCCAAGGATGCCAAACTATGGAGCAATATTCAACCTGAGGTCTAGCATAGGTCTTATATATGCAGTTTCCTTTATCTTTTTATTTGGGGTTTTAACATTTCTTCTAATGAATCTGAGGGAGTTATTTGCTTTAGATGTAATGTTGTTTATATGTTTGGTCCATGAAAGGTCTTGACTAATAGTGACTCCTAAGTATTTCGCTTCTTGAGTTGAGTTTAGTTGGATATTATGGAGGGTATAAGGAAATATTACAGGGTTTCTTTTACTTGTTATCCTGAGAACTTCACATTTGTCAGGGTTGAACTCCATGGACCAGTCTTTTTCCCATGTTTCTAAAGCATGAATGTCATCTTGGAGGGTTTGGGCATCTTAATTGTTTCTAAAAGATCTAGATGGTTAGGTAGACAACAATATCATCTGCAAAGAGTCTAACCTTACCTTTGACACTATCTGGGAGGTCATTTATGTAAGAAAGGAAAAGGCAGGGACCTATAATACCGAGCCTTGGGGACACCTGAGAGGACTGGTAGTATTCCTGATTTTTGACCTTCATCTACAACTTGCTGGGAAGGAATGGACCCAATTTGTAACCTCATAACTTATACCCAATCTTTCTAGTTTACTCACAAATTTGTGATGGTCCACCTTATCAAATGCCTTACTGAAGTTGGTAAGGTATCTATAATGAGCGCATTTTTTGCGCGGAGCTTCTCAATTGCTGCATTGCAGCAACATTTGTAGTTGTGCAAATTATGAACTAAAGAACAATAGTAAAAAAACAACATGAACTGGCATAAAAATGTCAGTGAATTTAATTGTGCCGATTAAGACACAGTTTAATACGCAATAGTGATAATGAATAATTATATAACATCAACACTTATATGTACATCGACATTATTTCAGATGTGGTAATCAAACAGTTTAAAAAGGTATAAATAAGTTGGTAGTATCTTTCATGTCTTTATTCGATGTAAATTAAAGATGGTGTCGTGAGTGTTAATTAATTAGGAAGAAATGCATTGAATTTCGAGTTAAAAGGTTTGTATGAATTAAGTTTCCAACAATCTTTTTTTTTCAGTTCATTTGACTGTTTCTATTGAATACGTTCATCAGTATAATAAATATTTGTTTCGTTTTTATTAACTTATTTTCAAAGAATATTTACTGTGTAAAAAAAGTATTGGAATAGATCTATATTGTTTTGTTTTAAATCACTTTATGTCATCATGACTGATAACTGTATTGATTGTGGATCAGGCCCGTCGTCACGATTTTGTGATTGGTGCGGCCAATTTGGTTGGTTTGAGCCAGAATGTAGAGGGGTACGGGGGCATGCTCCCCCGGAAAAAATTTTATTCTAGGATGCTCTCAGGGGCGTTTTCCCGTATATTTGGCACAGTTTACAGCCTGCCTTGTTCATGTTATATAGCAAATTTGTATTACGTCATTTGTTCATGTTTAATATGTTGTATTCTGATGCCTCTCAGAGGCCTAGAATTTGAAAATAAAAAGTTCAAAGTTCAAAGTACATGTTATAGTAATATATGTCAACGATTTTTTACATTTTTAAGTGCGCCGTAAGTTTTAAGGGTGAAATTTAAGGTTCGCATAACGGACGGACAGGTGTACATAAAAGATGAATACATGTAATTGATATTTGGCAAATGAAAAATAAACAATAACTGATGTTATAATTCTTTAGATGCATTTTTATCTGATAATTATAAATTACCAAATAAAAGAGATATTACAGTACGTGGGTTATTGTTTAACATAAATCACACAATGGTATAGGCTTAAATAACAACCCATGACATGATGGAAGAATAGTACATTACGAGTCACTAATAACCACTTTTTGTTTAGCAGTAACTTGTATTTTTTACACAACACAGAGTCTCATTTTATGTAAATTTTCCAAAAACACATCGCCGTCGTTCTCTGGTGGCAATGAACTCATCGGCAAAAACACGTTAGTTAAATGAATCTGGCCTGTACTTATGAATATGTAACACCATTAAGATTGTTCAAACGTACTTGAGACATGACATTGTCGATCTCAGGTATGTCTTTCTTCTTCTGAGCGCCAAGAATGTCCTTTCACTTGTAGCATTAGTAGCAGGCATTTCTAACAAAATCTTAAACAACACAACGACCTCAAAGAACAGTGCTCGTTCTAGCACTGACTGAACTGACACAAATTTCAAAACGTCAGGTAGAGTAACAGTACTATTTTCTGATTTGTCAAAATGTGAACGTAGCAGCTAAAGCTGCACCTCTAAGATATCTCGGTTAATGTCGTTACCATAGGCATTTCAAACAAAACCAAGTTCTCTAGTGTATACTCGGTCGTCAAAGGTTGTGTGACCTTAATACGTAAATCCTCCACGTTCTGAAGTACGGGATATCCCGGTTGGTCAAATCTCTATTTAACACTGGCCATGGCAAGATCGATTGCTTCAAAGTACTTATAGGCCAGAACACGGTTGCCGTATACAATCAATAAAATGTTATCAAGTTCTCGGAGAATTCAGACATACTATTTTAAGATATTCATAATGCATATTGCAAATCTCATGCACTGTTTTTTTTTTGTTATATCATAATATATATAACATTGATGAAATAATGTACGTTTTGGAAACGAAAATGATATTGGTTGATTTGGTTCCGATGGAATTGTGTCACACATCATGATAGTTTGCTATCTTAAGCTATTCATATTTAGATACTTGTATGTGAACAGAAGTAAATTTTTAAGGATTGTGATGTTATATTTTAAATAAACATATAATATATATATACTGTGATCTGTCTGAAGCCACGTCGATGTTAATTAATGCCAATTAAGATAACTTCACACTTGACTTAGTAGGACCCCTACATATACCTGGTCAATTAACAGTGTCCAGTTGTTTCTTCACGTCATGTTTGTATATTAACGCGCATATTGCATAAGAGGCCAGTCAAGTGTCAAATTGATTATCAGCGATGTGTGTTTTTTTGTTGTTGTTTTTTTTTACTCATTTTTTGGCCAAAATATTGGTCCGGCCTCGGATATATTAATTGTGCGTGACAGACAGGAGGCAGTGTCAGACCTGCGATACCTGTGATAGATGGCAGCATCTCTATAATTAATCTTACTTAAAAACTGTTCATGGAAACACTTTAGTGTGCTTTTGGTCATTTCTTTTTGATTACATACAATAAATTAAACATAGTAATGATTTGAACACATTAAGGCTTTTTTCCATGATATGTCAATAAAAAAGTTTAGTTTTTTCTTAATACTTCTATCGTATTTCTATCATTTCTTTTTAAGTGTTTATATTTTAAAGAAAATAAATAATAAAAAAAAATGGGGCCGGGTTGACCAGACATAACATTGGTTTGGGGCCGGGTTGACCAATTTGGGACCGGGCTGACTTGCGGCCGGGTTGATTTGGGACCGGGTTGACTTGTACCGGTTTCAAAGCTAATTGGTCATTAATTTGACCTTACCGGAAGTAACATGACAAACAATAACAACAACAACAATCTCATTCTCGACAAAAGTTTATGAAAATGGGACAACATCATTCGCACAGCTCTAATTCAAGTCCTGAAAACATTCCTGATATAGCTACACGTAGGAAATCATCCACAAAGATTCAAACATCAGCTTATGTTCCAGCTCTTGAGAAATTATTTCAGGTAGATCTAAGAAATGGTAGACAGACGTTTTACTCAAAATTTTATTACTGCCAAGACAGTTCACCGTCTTACACTTAACACCAAGACGTTGTTCTCCCTTTTTTATACAAATTTGATACTTTTGATTTAATAATATTTCTAAGAATAAAATTTTGATTGAAAAATTGCCATAATTTTTTCCAAGGAAGTGGCCAGCCAGGACACACTGTAGGCTTACAAGGATTTTAACCAAAAATTTGTCCTCCCATGTTTACTTTAATAAAGATTCTACGCCATTTTGTAAAAATAATTAATACAGAGGAAGTGATAGAAATGTCATTGTGATCATGACTCATTATGGTGCCTCATAGTCATATTTCCGTGGTACTTAACTGTTTAACACAGACAACATAATTTAAAAGAATAAAATTCTGGAAAACACATTGAATATTGTAGGATAGACATGTCAATTCCATCATAGTTTATTCCATTTAATGTTTGCATGTAAGCAATTATGTATACAACATTGTAATTAACACCCATCTGCTGCCTAGTGAGTAAAATTGTGTTCTCATATTTCCAAGGCAATTACATTTTAACAGTTTCAAAAGCAAAATAAATAGTAATTTTTATTTTTTTAGTACACCTATACCTAGACTCATCTGAAAGTGGGGATTTTCTCTTTGGCATTTATCAAATATGTCAATGGTTGTTTAACAAAGAAGATTTTCTTAAAAGGTATGAAATCTAAAAGTAAAATAAATTACTTTGCTCCTAATTTCAATAAAATTATTATTTTTGTTCAGTCGTATACATCACATTTCAATGAAAATACAATAAAATAGTTAAAGTTAAACTAATGGCAGGTTAAAGAAGTCTATGAGGCACTTTAGACTGTTTATACCTATTACCTTGGAAATATGGGTACCACGGAAATACGAGGCACCAGTATACATTGTTTATCACATGCCCGTGCCGCTTTTGCGACTCTGTAAACACGGTTTTTCAATGTGACGTCATATTTGTGTTATATAAACAAAGCTTTAAGACATGCTATTTAGTTTGCATTATACACTAGGTTTAAATCCTCGTCTAAAGACATAAAATAACATAATAAAATTGCATTTTTGACTTTCTTATAATTTTGAAAATTGCCGTATGGCTTGAAAATACATGTAGTACTGTGTCCTGGCTTGCTGCATGTGACTCACGTAGGGCTAGAACTTTTGGCTAGCCACTTTCTTTCATTAAATTGATTTTCAAAAGGGCATTTCAGGGGTATGACTAAGTACCGAATATGAATTTGCAAATATGAAGAGAATGTGGAATATGAATATCATTTCCATAAAATTTTGGCATAGAGTCAAAAAATCACACTATAATTAATATATTATATCATAGTGAGTATTGCTTTGTTAAAAAATAAAATATTATTTGATAAGTGCTGTTTAAAAAAAAACTGTCACATATATTAAAACAAGTCTGTATTTCCGACTTTTATTAGTGACCAAAATATCAGCAATAAGGCTATATTTCATGAAAACTCTCATGTTCATATTATGATTTTCAATTTAATTTTAAATTGTTATGGTTAATATTTATAAAGATACTGCTCAGTTTACCTGTCATAAAATCAGCTTTTGAGTAATTTTTGAGTGGGTAAATATTCTGCAGGAGCATGAATTGTTACTGACAAGAGTCAAGAATTAGGGCCGGGGGCATACAGTTTAGTCCTGGCTTTCAAATCTTTATAAGCTGCTTTTTAACATTTTTTTTTCATGTGATGCTGTATTAAAGTTTTGGATCAGACCCATTGATAGATCCCTACTCTGACCTTTTATTTGAATAATAATAGATTTAACCAGTGCTCTTTTGTTAACAAATATGTTGTGCTGAAGTTCTAATTGTATCCACTAATCTTAATATGAAATTAGGCAAAGCCTATGAACGGGGAAGTCGTTAAAAAATCCTTTCATTCTTTCCGTTGTAAAGGTGTCATTCGGTATTACATGCACCGCTTCCGTTTTCACTCGGAACACTCGACGATTATTATTAATCCAAAAAGTTGAGATTTGTTCCGTTATCGGAATACCCCGCCTATTGTCATTGAGTTACATTGTAAATGGCGACGCCCGACTAGAACTGACACTGAAAATTTCTTTGATAGGTATAGCATTCTATATATCTTTTAATTGTTTTTTATTTGATTTTCTTTTAAATATACACGTGTAGTCTATAGCCGGGCAAGCCAAAGCTTTGACTTCCCCGTAATATAATTGGAATCGGACAGGTCACGGATCTATGCATTACAAAACCTCACCAAAATAACATATGCTGATTTAACATAATTTTTTCTTTGCAAATTTGAACTCTTTTTAGTCCCCTACCGGTTTAACCGGAGGGGACTTTAGGTTTACCCTCCGTCCGTCTGTCCGTCTGTCTGTCTGTCTGTCTGTCCGTCTGTCAGTCCGTCAGTCCGTCCGTCCACCAAACTGGATCCCGCGATAACGCAAAAAGTACTGAAAATATTTTTATGAAACTTGATATATGGATAGATGGCAGTATGGAGATTATGCACGTCTTTTTTTTTTTCTTCCTATGTTGAAAATTCTGGTTGCTATGGCAACAAATAGTCTGAAAATATGGCAAATTTAACACATAAACTGGATCCAGTGATAACTCAAAAAGTACTGAAAATATTTTTATGAAACTTGAAATATGGGTAGATGGCAGTCTGGAGATTATGCACATCTTTTTCTTTTCTTCCTATGTTGAAAATTCTGGTTGCTATGGCAACAAATAGCCTGAATTTCAAGATTTCTGATTTAAATTTTTCAGCTTTTTCACTATAATTATGTTCTTTATTTCTTAAGGTGTTTACTTCAAACTTTAAATATAAGTTTCTGGTCATCAACCACATCATATGTGGCAAGGTTTATAACTCTAGCACAAAAAAAATCAGTATTACCTCCCTTGAACTTAGATTTTTTAGGGGAAAAAATGTTGTCTTTTTTAAATAACTTCTTTATTTCCTAATGTATCTACTTAAAACTTCATATATATGTTTCTTATTATCACTCGACATTTTTGAGAAGGTTAAATACTCTAGCAAGACTATTTCCAGAATTATGTCCCCCTTGAACTTAGATTTTTTTTGAGAAACTGGTATTTTCACTCCAACTTCTTCATTCCTTATAGGATTTACTTTAAAATCCCACATCGTAATAATATGACAAGGTTGTATAAACATAATTTCCTTACTAAGCATGGAAACTTAACACATTACTGTGATATAGACAAACTTATTTTATTATGTTTTGTGGTTGATAATTTCAAATACAGACTTCATCCTCAAATTCATTATAAATGGCAATACACAGGAGTGTATGACAATTAAAGAACTTTTTGAGGGACCGGTAGGGGACTACTGTATTGCCCGCAATACTATCAAATGCTTGTTCATATTAATTCATGTGCATTATTCGATATAACAATTATTTTGAAATTGTTCTAAAAGTATCAAAATATTAGTATTGTCAATAAAATTGCCTGTTTAACTGTCAAATGTCACACCTATTTGAGAAGGCCATGATACTAAGGAACTAAGCAAGATCTTGTATGACATAGTTTGCGGGAACCAGTTAGAGTTTCATATACTTCAATTTATAGTGTTCATTTTCAGATTAATGATTATATTAATTAATGTACATGTATTATATAAATGTATGTATTAACTTTGTTTTTCAGAAACTTGAATTGACTGCAGAGAGCGACAATGGACATCCAGGAGAACTGACAAGAGCAACATTTGAGGTAGGGTGTATAGTGTTCTTGCACAACAGGAAGTGACATCATACAGTTGTAAATGATGTTGTGAAATCAACTGTTTTTAGTGTTTTTACCCTTGTTAAAGATAGTATAATACTGTATTTTATCTATTATATAATAAACAAAGATATATATTTATTTTTTATATGTAAAATAATAACGCTGATTTATCCTATAAGAACAGATATTGTGAAACTCTCTGTAGTAATCTTTCAGAACATTATTAAAATCAATTACCATCCTGAAGAGATCATGATTTGAATTTAAGTGTTGTAAGACTGAACATTAAAGTGAACAGGTTGATAATTGGATGAATAGGGATAGCTATAATTGTACTCATGCAGGTATCTGCGTCACGCTTTGGTTAAATTTCTGCATTCAAGTTGGTATTTCCAAAACTGGGAATGGGAATAGTCAAGCGCACTGTCCCACCAACAGCTCTTCTAAACCAGTCTACTTTAATTCTGTATTGTAGAATGTGTTCCATGGTCCATTACAACTGTTTGGTAAGTTATTGTACAGACAGATGGTAACTGTTGGTCACCATAGCACTGACAAGATTAAAGAACGTATCACGTGTGAACAGTTTGTGAAGGCTGGGCGTGAAATACTGAAAATGTTTGATGAAACTGACCAGCATAAATACTACTTCAAATTGTTTGCCGAAGGAAAAGATCACCTCACTCAAGCAGGTATTCAATTGCTGTCTTTCATTTTTATACCTAAGTAGTATTTTGCAGGTAGTACATATGACATAGTTTCAAATAAAACATGTTTTGATACTTCTAGTTTTTAAAATATTATTTCAGTTGACAATTTGAAGTCACAGTATAAAGTAATGAAGGATGAAAAATACAGACTAAAACATTTTTGATATATACATTCTTTAATCTTATTTAATTTTTTAAAGCTATATATCTGCTGCAAAAAACTTTTTTTTAATGTTGGAAAGAATACAGTCATGTTCTTCTAAAATACCTGTAGGAAAGAAGTGCGTTTGAATTTTTCTTTTTGAGTGAACGGCACATGCACAAAATCATTACCAAACAGTTTAAACCCTACTTAAAATAGCAGTACATTCTATAATATTTTGTCCTTGAGCATTTTAGTGTTTTGTTTACATGATAATACAATATTCATGTTTGTTAAAGAACAGAGACATTTTTTGTTATTAATCTTTCGAGAATCAACCATAAATTGTGGGAACAACATGATTTTTTCTGTTTATAAAGTTTATAAAAATGTTCCATAAGATATAGCTTTATACAACCTTTAAAATAGTTAACTACATTTAACTAGAATATATTTTACTGCATTTCACTGTTGTTGTTTTTTGTCACTATAGATGCTTTGACAATGGTTAATATATCATATGCGTTAACACTTTCCTCGTCGATGATTCCCTACGTGAAAGGTGCTAAAGATGATAAAGTGTTTGAATCAGTTGTACAGAGTATGGTAGGTCATTAGTTTATCTACATGTTACGATCCTACAATGATTATAAATTCTGGAAATTTGATCATGTTGTTGTTATTTTGAACTTTTTTTACTCCATCAGTGATCACTTAATTGAGTTGTTTCTGTCTTACGACACAGTAACAATTGTATTATACTTACTAATATTACATACTCAATTTTTCCACTTTAACAAAAGGTCAGTAATATTGTGTGAGATAGTTTAAATAGTTTATAATATGTGTATATAATATGTGTTTATAATATATGTATTTAAGCCATACCCTGCTAGCAGCAACTGTTTCTACACATGTGACCAGTGCAGACTGAGATCTGCTGGCATATCTGTCATCTTATCGTGGTCTGCACTGTTCGCTGTTCAATCTATTCAAATGACAAAGTTGTTGCTAAGAAGGATGAATGGTTGTGTCCAAATTAAAAAGGTCAACAAATCTGCTTTTAGATATTTACCTTGGTTTTAGGTTAATATCTAAGTAGTAAAGCAATTTTGCAAAGTCTTTCATTATATTTGGAGTCTTTTTGATATTTATAATATTTGTAATATTTGTATACCTGTAGTATTATTGCCTTTTAGACAGGGTTTACATGTTATTAATAGATATTTTTCATGTTTAACATTTTGACTACTATATTTGTGTAATGAATTGGTCCTGCCTAGAATAAGGAGCTTACAATAATTTAGGGATTTCAATGTAAAAGTTGAGAGGACAGCAGACATTTTCACAAAAAATCTTACGACAATTTTTTGTCGTAAGAGAAATCTTACGATAAATCTCCTTTTCACAATAAATCTTAAGAAAATCTTAAGTGCAAAATCTGTCGTAACTTTACGATAGGTCTTCCCCGTTCGTAAGTGTAATTTTTTCTCTCTTAAGGGTAAAATATCATGTATCTCTTACCTAAACTGAATAAAAACAAACAAAAAGTTGGAGGAAAAATAAATATAAGCAAACAGTATGCTATGAATAACACAAATTGAGGTATAATTATTTTTCAACATAAACATTTGTGACGTCATGACTTGATGACGTCACGATGGAGAGGGTTATGAATAGTTTAAATGTGAACTATACTGTAGTATTATTGAAAACTTATAATTTGTACAATGGGTGAGTTCGCTTTCATTGCCAGCATGTACTAGTGGTACCTTTTTATTTATTAATAACATAGTATTCCTTCTTTCTGAATCTTTTAGATATATATAATTATCTTCAATCAAGATATAAATTATATCAGTTTGAATCATTTTTGTGTTCTTATTGAAATTTGATTGTGTTCAATAGATATTTCAAGCTCTTGATTACTTGATTTTAAAACCGGAATCAAATATAGAGCATGCACATCACTATCAAATGAACGTTGCTAAGGATGTTTTTGTCGTAAGATTTATCGTAAGTGAATTATTTATCTTAAGATAAAATTTTAACTTACGAGTGGCTTTGTGAAAATGACTTAAGATTTAACTTACCATTATCGTAAGTGAAAAACTTAAGATAAATCTTAAGATTTTTTGTGAAAATGTCTGCAGGTCTCTAAAGGCTTGTCAAACTGCACAAATGTGAAAACAGGTCAGTATAACTTGACCCTTGTCCCATTGCTTGATTTAAGTGTTCTGACATTTGAATCTCTTAAATTTAATGATAGTCTGTTCCAATATCAAGACATGACAAGTTTATTATACAAATTCAGTATATTTTATTGAAATCACTCAAATTTAATATTAAACAGCTCGAAAGTCGAGACTGGACATGTTCATCGCACAAATTCAGGACAGTACAGTCAATAATTTATAAATATTGGATTATTTCAGTTTGGAATGAAGACAGAGATAAACTTTCATGATATGGAGAAATGGATGGATCAACATTGTTCTAATATGTTCTGTGGTGTCCACAATTGGGTCCATACTATCCTGACTGGCTCAAAGATGCCGACAGAACTGGTATATCTTACTGTTATATATTGTACTTTCATGGTACACCAGTACAATACAGAACTGGTATAACATACTGATTTATATTGAACTTTCATTGTGTGCCTGTACTGTACAAAACTGGTATAACTCAATGTTATATATTGAACTTTCATGGTACACAAGTACGATACAGAACTGGGATAACTCAATGTTATATATTGCACTTTCATGGTACTCAAGTACGATACAGAACTGGTATAACTCATTGTTATATATTGAACTTTCATGTTACACCAGTACAATACAGAACTGGTATAACTTACTGATTTATATTGAACTTTCATTGTGTGCCTGAACTGTACAGAACTGGTATAACTCAATGTTATATATTGAATTTTCATGGTACACAAGTACTACATAGAACTGGTATAACTCAATGTTATATATTGAATTTTGATGGTACACAAGTACAATACAGAACTGGTATAACTCAATGTTATATATTGAACTTTCATGGTACACAAGTACAATACAGAACTAGTATAACTCAATGTTATATATTGAACTTTCATGGTACACAAGTATGATACAGAACTGGTATAACTCAATGATATATATTGAACTTTTATGGTACACAAGTACCATACAAAACTGGTATAACTCAATGTTATATATTGAACTTTTATGGTACTCAAGTACGATACAGAACTGGTATAACTCATTGTTATATATTGAACTTTCATGGTACACCAGTACAATACAGAACTGGTATTACTTACTGATTTATATTGAATTTTAATTGTGTGCCTGAACTGTACAGAACTGGTATAACTCACTGTTAAATATATATTGAACTTCCATTGTATAGAACTAGTATATCTTAATGGCTTGTATTGAACTTCATTGTATGGTACAGAGCTTGATAAGATATTTAATTTTGGTTATATGGTCTTTGTCATTGTAGAGAACAATTATATCAATTAAAAGTATAGGAATGTCATGGTATATTTCACTGTAGCAAATATAAATAATTTCTGTTTATAGTAAAAGATATATCAGTTGATGAAAAATGTTAGGGGATCATTCAATAAGAAAATAATATATCTGTCTATCAACATGTTACTTTTAAACAAATATTTCAAAATCTGTGTTTTTATTACGTAGGAAGCAGCTCCGGTACCAATGTTAGATAAATTCACAGAAGGAAAACACTGTATGACCATGGGTATGTTATGGTTACTAACGGCAACCCTACCGTACCGGTACACACACACCGAGAAAGATACAGATCCAAGTCTCCATGCTTCAACTACAAAAAATCCACTTCTCACATCATATCAATTCCTTATGAAACTTGTAAGTAAACATGAACAGTTTAATTTGATAATAAAAGAGTTAATTTATGTTAACTTATGTTTTATCAGTTATTTAGATATAGGCTATATCAGGTTTACTTTAATAATGCTCGAGCTACATGTATATTCATGTCAATGTTAATCAATATAACATCATGACTTTAACCTTAACCATTAACTTAGTGGAACTGAAAGTGTCTAGCCATTGCTGTAAGTACAAAGTCACACCAGCCTGCACATCCATACAATCTGGCTGAACTATAACAGTTGGTAGGTCAATTTAAGTATTTTAACATGGACATTCCTTGATCTTTGAATGGATTGTTTCAGATTCAAAGCAAAGATAAATCTGTTATACAAAGTCTATTTCACATACAAAATTACTACATTGTAGGTAAATTTAGATGGGAGTAAATTGTACCAACTATATATTCAGACATTCCGAAAAGTATTTTGACATTACTGGACATTTGTTCCAGCAATCTTGAAAGAATCACTGGACGGAATCAGTTTTCCCTGGACAGAATGGAAATCAGAATAAAGACACTTTAAATATTTTAAATTTCTATTTAGTTAGCACCTTCAAAATAGCGTAAAACACTCATTTCTTGTAATTGCGAAGAACTAATAATTTTCCAACTGGAAGTAAGTATTTGTTCAAGTGCCATACCGTAATAGGCCTATTACAACTAAATTACTTTGTAATGGCAAATTTATTTATGAAAATAATTGATTTGGAATACGTAATACTGATAATAACTGTGTTTATTTTAATTCTAAATATTATCTTGGAGATCGTGTATGTGAAATCTTGAGACAAAATTTTTCCCGGTCTGATCATAATTTTATGGGTCAGGTCCGTCGAACCGACACTTTTCGGAAAGTCTTTATATTGATGATAATAATTAGGTTAGGTTAATTTACAATGTTTTAAAATAAATATTGTTAAGGTCTTCATGGTTGTGTGATGAAGGTCTTTAAATCCAGTAAAATACTCACTTGTGGATAGTGTTTGCATGCTCATTTTTAAAAATTCTAACTATAAATAGACTGTTGTTTTTTAGTAAAATAAGTGACAGTGTACTTCATAATTATACAGTATGAAAAAGCATTATGGCAATATCATAAGGAACATTTGGCAGTTAAACTCGCATGTCTGGTTGTCACATCAAATGATGTAAAGATGATATTTAGAGGTCTTAGTCAGCGTGAAAGTTGATCATTTGCAGTATCATTGTGTTCTTGTTGCAGAACCTTCATAACAACATAACTTGTGTAATTTCAGGCTAGATTAAGTCGATGTCAGAGTTGGACCACACTGTATGACAGTGATGATCATGGTCTGTCTATGAACAGGTGAGTTAATATTATTGTTTCAAGTATTTTTGAGCATTATTTGCAAATTTATTATTATGAGATTATTATTACTAATGTGGACATCATAGTTTCTTTCAAATAATAAATCTGACTTTAGTTTAAGGGTGGATATCTTTTTTTTCTGACATTTTTGTGAGATATTGTAAAATATCTTTATGATGTGATATATAAAATACCAGTTTGATGTGATATATAATATCAGTGATATATACTGTGTCAGTGTGATTTAAGTGATATATAATGGATCAGCATAATGTATGATATATCAGCGTGGTGTATGATATATAAGTGTGGTGTAACTGATAAATAAAATATGAACATGATGTAAGTGACATTTAATATATCAGCCTGGTGTAAGTGATATATATAAGTGTGAGGAAAGTGATATATGATACTACACTCTTTGAAACTGGGTGAGATATAAAATTTTAGTTCCTGTCATATACAGTCAGTGATAATAAAGGATAAAGGTTTTCATGATAAAATTAGCAAGGCTATATGAATAAGTTTTATTTGTAGTGGCAAATTCTCTTATTGATGTGTTCCCATATGCTCCTACATATATTTTAAAGGAATCTGTTCTTGGTGAAATATAGTCCACATTCACTTCCAACAAATATTCTCTACATTTTTCAGGGAAGAGGTTGCCATTAAATTAATTCTTTTTATTTAGTGAAATTAGGACTCAAAACATAATGCTTTAATAAAGGCATGACTTGTTACACCATTTTGTTTCTGATTGTTACAGATTTACACACCACATATCATCATATAAAGATCCTACTATAACACTGTTGTCATTTGAAGGTAGAAATATATACTGTGTAGCTGAGGATGTTCCATGGAGGTATGTACATCATTCCAGTAGTTAACTATGTTTCTACACTTTCTAGTTAAATACATGATAAGTTTAAGTGTGTATTATTTAGCAATGTATACTTTATTTAAGAATAAACACTTACCCTACTGGTGAAAACTGTTTCTAGTCATGTGACCATTGAAGACCAAGATCCAACGGCACATTTGTTGTCATTTGATCATCAGCGTTTGCTATTCAGTCACTACATATTTTATCATTTTTCTAAAAATGATAAATGAGCCGCGTCATGACAAAACCAACATAGTGCGTTTGCGACCAGCATGGATCCAGACCAGCCTGCGCATCCGCAACATTATACCTCCTAATCACTCAGGCTCACAGTGCACGTGAATTTCAAAATAAGCTTTGACCCATTTGTGTAAATCATTTAAAATATTTCCAACATGTGTAATGTAAAATTGTACACAGAGAGAGTTTTTGACAATTAGATAATAAAAACAATGTTAAATGAATTTAATTCAAAGTGATATTTTGTATTTATTTATAATCATGCCTTTGTTCATATGTTGTTGTCTGTGTTTTCTTCTCAGAATTATATTTAATGTTGTAATGTATTTATTTATGATATGACAAAGTGTTTCTCTTGAATAAAAATGTTTGATGTATGTGTTTCAGGGAAGGCTCACAGAAGTTTGGTGGTGATGATACGCAGTTAATACAGATATCACCTGTATACAGGGTAGTTAAAGGTAATTGTTAGGTCTACCTGCTGGCAATTAGCTTATATTGAGTGTGTAAAGTCATAAAACACTGGTTATTCACCAGTTACAAGTATCTGTTGCTCAAAATGTTTATTGAGATTCATATCAAAGGCAATATCTTTGCGAAAGTGTCTACAAAAAAAAAATCTGACAGATTTTTAAATTAATTTACAGGTCACTCAAGATTTAATAGCAATTTATGAAATACTCTGTATTCAGGTTATCATATCTGTCTACCAGAGGATAACATTTGAGATACCTATTGATGACTTGCATAGAAGTTTAATTCATAACATAGCATGTTTTAGAAAACCAATTTTATATGCTTGATTATCTTTAAACATGGCTGCAGTTGTAAACTTATGAATATATTTTCATGTTTTAAGAAACTATACAGTATGGTAATATGAATTTGTTGTTAAGATTTTTGACAAAAGAAATTGATTGTTTTTTAAAGATTTTTGACAGATTATATGGCTGTGAAAATATGGTTGTTTGCCATATATCCCTTACATAGTAGTTTTGGTTATATAAGTTTTCATCCATTTATTCTGGGTAAAAAACCTTTCATGAAGGTTTATAAGAAATGATATGTTTTTGCCAAAACTGTGAACATTTTACCTAGTGAAATTATATTCTTAACTCAGAAAACCATCATGAAATATTAATATGTTAAAAAAAACTGCAAAAGTTTATTTTAAATACAAAAATGATCTTGTATTTTTTAGACACAACACACGTCTAGGCTAGAGCCTCACCTTAACATATTGAAATCAGAATGCCACCAATGTTGAATTTTCAGATTTTTCTCTTTGTTATGTATTATAAACAAGCTTGAACAGGTACATTAGACATATTGTTTTACCTTCTTGTAGTTATAAACTAAAGGAAAATGTTTCAAAATGCAAATTTGAAAAACATTGGTAGTTACAAGCAAAAAAGAAAATTTTTAAAATGCAAATTTGAAAAACTTTAGACTTTGCAATGATATGTGATTGTATTGTTGATATTTTTACAGCTAAGGGACCGATGGTGTTATGGAATATGTCAGACCGTAATTTACCTCAGGGTATTTATATAGGTCACACTGGAAAGAGTAATGTGATAGGTATACCTGCTGACTTTAGTACATTACAACATTATGGCGTTGACTGTGAACTACATAGAATAGAGGTTAGTTAGCATTTTGGTAATCTTTGATATATATTTATATATCACATACCCGTGCTGCTTTTAAAACCTGGTAAAAACAGTGTTGCACAGCTTATACATGTTTTGACATGACGTCATTTGCATTATATAAGTATTGCGTAAAGGCGCGCTAAATGTAAGTGTTATGCTATTAGCCCAACAATGTAAAAAGCCCTTAATTTGGATATGTGATTAATAGAATATTATGTTTGTGTAGCCTCATTACTTAATTTATTGAACTTGTTGTATATTTCAAAGTACTGAAATAGACTGATTTGTAATTTCAGTAACTTGTTACCATAGAAACAGAAACAATTAATAGCATTTTAATTGTAAACTAGTATCTTTGATTATTAGTAATGCAAATCTCTCATGTTAAGTGTAAACTGGGGTAATTTCCAGTATAATTGTAACTAAAAATAGCCTCTACTGGAAAAGAAAGGTGATTATTCCATGTAATGACGGCCATTTTAAAAAATGGCTGCCATGACAACCATCTTGGCATATAAAATGGGTCCCATGCCCAAAATGTTTCTTTTGCATTGATTAACATCTGTGCCAAGTTTCATGCTTTTCCCATTTTCTGAAGTATTTTAGCATATTTTGTTACAAATTGACTGGACTAATTATGCTTGCCACAGGCCCATTGAACATGCACTCATTTCAATATACTCTATAATTTCTTATTTGGACTTGTGCTTTAATATCAGGCAAAACTAAACTCTTATATATCATAAACTAAAGTCAGAAAAGAACTAAAGTGTCAACTCATCACTACCTAATACATGTAGGTAAAAATGATTTATTAATGTCCACTGGTTTTATATAACATGTATACAATATGATATTTTTTCACGATATGTAGATGTGGGGATGTGGGGGAGTAGAGTCATATCAGGCACAACAAAAACAGAAACACTGGGAGAGAAAAGAAGTGGAAAAACACCAGACAAGAAAGGTGAAGAGTTAATTATATAATATATAATACAATACCACTCCAATTCATATTTTGATAATCATATATGGAAAGCTTTTAGTACAAATACTGTTCATCAATGACTATATATGAGCCGCGTCATGACAAAACCAACATAGTGTGTTTGCGACCAGCATGGATCCAGACCAGCCTGCGCATCGGCGCAGTCTGATCAGGATCCATGCTGTTCGATTACCAACTCTATTACAAGTAGAGAAACTGATAGCTACCAGAATGGATCCTGATCAGACTGCGCAGGTGCGCAGGCTGGTCTGGATCCATGCTGGCGCAAACCCACTATGTTGGTTTTGTCGTGACACAGCTCAATTATATATAAAGAAACCCCCATCATAACTGTATAAATATTTAAGGGAAGCAGTTGCTCCTTGGTTCAGGTGTCAGACTCTCAGCCCAGGTCTCTGTGGGTACGAGCCCAACTGGGGTCACAACCATGTTTCCTTATATGATACAAGTGCTGGTTAATAATGAGAGTTCATATAAGCTTCAAGCTTTTATCATCATCAAACTAGAATAAATGAGCCGCGTCATGACAAAACCAACATGGCGCGGCTCAAATGTAGTTAAATACTGTAAAATCAGTATTATTCATGTGGAACTAATTTTCATGGTTTTCGTGGATAGGTCAATATCCAGGAAAATTTCATTTCATCTGCTGTAAGATTATTTTGCATCAAGCATTATCTACATTTTACCTTTTGGAAAAATATGCAGTCCCAGAATTTAAGAACCCACGAAATTTAAGAACCCACGAAGACCTCAGATGCCCTTCTTTTTGACAACACTACAAAATTTTAACGCCCACAAATTTAAGTGAATTCACTGTAAAACTAAATCTGAATGATTTATAATATTATATATTATAATTGTTAAACAACATATTTTTGTTATTTTATTTGTTTTATTTTAGTTGCATCTTGACACAAACTGGGATGAGAATCCTGACAAACAGCTATTATCTTGGGGAGGTATAGAGGTGAATCATCAATACAGTAGGAATGGTGGCATGTAAACACTACCACCCCCTGGTGGTATATCATCTGTCTTTTGTGAAACAAGGGGAGAGAAATTTATCTTTTCTTAAAAAAAAAGGGAGCCAACCTTCTGTCTGAAGTGAACAAAGGGAGTAAACTTATGTCTGAATCTTCAAAATATATATCAAGCTGTGATTTAGTTTCTTTACATGTCTTCCAAACTACACAAACATTGGAACTACAAAATGTGTGCTATAGATGGAAACATAAAATCAGGAATAATGGATGACTTGAAAGTTAAGTTTTAGAACAGAGAAGTTATAATTGAGCCGCGTCACAACAAAACCAACATAATGGGTTTGCGACCAGCATGAATCCAGACCAGCGAACAGCATGGCTCCTGATCAGACTGCGCAGATGCGCAGGCTGGTCTTGATCCATGCTGGTCGCAAACCCATTATGTTGGTTTTGTCATGGTGTGGCTCATATTATCTTCTTTAAATTTTGACATGGTTATATCATCACATTATTTATAAGTGTATTCAACTTTAATCCCATTCCTAGTATGATTGTCTTGTAAGATATAGGAAATGTCCATGGTCTTACCAAACAAGGTTAATATTAGACAATATATGAAATTAACCAATCAACAATACTAAATCTTATTAAAATACACAGATATGCCAGCTGGCCTGGCCCTCTTGTTTTACTATTCAGTCCCAATGTTACTGAAATGAAGATGGTTATTTACAACAGTTTACGATTGTAGTCAATTTACATGTGATATTTTAATGTTACCTTATTTGATTTGTATAATGAACTTGCTTTCAAACTGTACATTGTATTTTTAAGGATTTAAAGTATGTCCATGGAAGGGCATAATAGTGAGTGAAACAGGTGAAAGTCTTTAAAAGATTACATTTGACTATAATTCCTTTTACTTTTGTTGTTTAATTTGCATAAATAAGACGGAGAGATATTTAGAAAAAAATTGATAATATTACATTGTTAAAATATTTAGTCTTTTTTTCTCATAACATAAATAGGATTTTAACAAATTGATGTACATGTATGCTATTGTATTCGTTCTTATTCTTATTACTAAATCCAAATTTCTCCTAGACAAGCAGCCATTTTTTATTTGTATATTTTTTTTAATCAGATTAAAACCTTTGCTCATTATCCACAGTGAAATCCAGTTAGTGTAACAGATGTTATTGTTGTGTAAAATCTGATAGATCTGCTCTTTTGTTATTTATAGGGACTTAAATTTTAAAAGTTACGAGGGGATTGGGTTGGGGGGGCGCGGTTGGGTAAGACAGGTTTTCTAGCACAGGTATAAATAGTAGATAATCCTGTCTGATATGCAAGAATACATAGTATCAAAAAAAATCTTGTGGTTTATACATGAATTATCAGTTAATACTGAAAAAAAAATTGGTTCATTAATAGTTATACTTATTTTGATTTTGTAATGAATTTGTTAAGATATTAAATAAAAAAAGAGAAAGAGAATGCCCAGCAATAACAGTATGTATGACTATGAGATAGTGGTGTATAAACTTACTGTTGAAGTATAATATGAAAGATGTTCGTAATAATAGGAAATTATTGTAGAATTTTTTGTCTGATTATATTTGTGTTTTGTCCTTATACATGTTATTAACTCGATATTGGATATAAAAAAATTGTTTTAAACATCAGGGTATTAATCTACTACATGAATTTGTAACTTATGTACATGTATATATCCAGATTTAGTTTGTTTTTTTCTTTAGAAGTAGACCTTTATAGTGGGGAGGTTTAAGTTTTTCTATAGTTAGTTAAATGATTAGTCTTATCAACATTAAGGTATATTATGTAAAATATTTACCTATAAAGTATTTTTGTCCAATTTAACTACTTACATCAAATTAACCGCTAAATTGCTGGATTCTGAAAATTAGCCTTTGACGCCAGTATAAAACCAGGCTAGAGAGCACTTCAGTGCAATCTGACCAGGTTGGTTGATAATCTTAGAATTTCCATCTTGAGTTCCCCAAATTTGATAATGGTAAGTTAAAAAGATGAAGGCTGGGCAAGTACATTTGAGCCGCGTCACGACAAAACCAACATAATGGGTTTGCGACCAGCATGGATCCAGACCAGCCTGCGCATCCGCGCAGTCTGATCAGGATCCATGCTGTTCGCTATCAGTTTCTCTACTTGTTATAGAGTTTGTAAGCGAACAGCATGGATCCTGATCAGACTGCGCGGATGCGCAGGCTGGTCTGGATCCATGCTGGTCGCAAACCCATTACGTTGGTTTTGTCGTGACACGGCTCATTTTAAGAAATTCAGCAGGTTAAGGGTTATTTTGAGTGTAATAAATATATATGTTGATAATTTGTTTAACTTTTTAGTTATGTTTTTGTTTATTTGATTTCTTCAAACATTTATAATGATAGCTGTCTCACAAACCGAAGGTGTGCAGAATTTATTACAAGTAATGAAATATGTCATTTTAAATTGTATTGATGATTTTTGTAATATTTACTTCCAAACAATACATTTCAAAAGATTCTGAATTCTTTAAGAAAATATTTGTTTGAATTATGGGCTATTTTGTATGTATTTTCAAACATAATTTTTGTTAAAAAAACACACTTTTTTATGAGAGGAGAAATATTTCAGGTTTTGGAAATTACGGTGCTCAAAATATCTACATCAATTTTGATTTCTTTTTGTCTTGCTTTTCTTGTACATTTATTTAAACATTAATGTGCTACATTACAAAGTTTTAAAATAATGCATATATGTTATACAATAACAAGGGACTATATTTTTGAGTGAAATATTGAATGTATCTCATTGGGGAATGATTTAATATATCTAAATGGAAAGTGATACTGCAGAATTTTTAATGAGCATGTTGGGTTTAAAAGACAGATGCGCTACATTTTATCAATTTATTATATATTTAGTGCCATTAAATAATTAACTTGTCTTTGTTAGTTCTGGATTGAAGTCAATTTTGATCAGTTTTAGGTCTGTTTCACAGACTTGTATAATTTGTTTGTTTATAATATGAGCCGCGTCACAACAAATCCAACATAATGGGTTTGCAACCAGCATGGATCCAGACCAGGATCTGATCAGGATCCATGCTGTTTGCTTACAAACCCTATAACAAGTAGAGAAACTGATAGCGAACAGCATGGATCCTGATCAGACTGCGCAGATGCACAGGCTGGTCTGGATCCATGCTGGTCGCAAACCCATTATTTTGTATTTGTCATGACGCCGCTCATATATACCCTAGTCATTGTGTGATGTTGAAAAGACTTGTTGTTATACTGATATATAGTGCTACAACATATTTACTTTCTGGTCATATAACACTAATTAGGTACAATGTTTCGAGTGCCATATTCTTCATAAAAATGCATGATAATCAAAGTTTGTATAATCAAGCATTACATGTTTTAATGAAATAGTCAGTGGTAATATTTTATTTGGAAAGAAGCTTGGTCATTTGATTTATTTTCTGTAGTTGATGGTTATATTAATACCAGCCTGAAATGTGAAAATCTCATTACAGAAAGTAGCCAGGAAGCACATTACATTTTAGGTCATAATGAAATATTGTAGGTCTATTATTGTATGACATAATACATGTATTCACTAACATGGTAATATCAAGATTGAGGTAATGTCAGATTATGATTATTAAGGTATTGAATTTTTCCCCTGTATTTTTATGCCCCCACAATATGGGAGCATATAGTGTTGCACTTGTCCGTTCGGCTGTCCGGCCGTCCCGAAATCTTGTGAACGCAACTCCTCTTAAACCGGATGGCAGATTTTGCTTAAACTTACAGGGATGAACAACCTTAATGTGTAGATGGTAGTAAAGGAAGGAATTTTTGCTGCGACCAAATTTTACAGAATTATGGCCCTTTGTTGATTTTTTCACTAGATACTATGTAGAAATTTTGTGAACGCAACTCCTCTTAAACCGGATGGCAGATTTTGCTTAAACTTCAAGGGATTAACAACCTTAATGTGTAGATGGTAGTAAAGGAAGGAATTTTTGCTGCGACCAAATTTAACAGAATTATGGCCCTTTGTTGATTTTTAGTTTTCAACTTGTGGCACATGTAGTCCAAAAAATATTTGACCTAGAGTCATAAGATTGACAGAACAGTGGCGTGTGGGGGCATCCGTGTCCTATGGACAAATTTCTAGTTTTTGCTGTTACAGTTTAAAAAACTTTTACATTATTAGATGAAAAGGTTATTTCAAATATCTGTATGTAAATGATGTTGTTACTAAAAATATATTAAGTTACCTATTGTTATGTACGTTTTCTCCTACATTTTCTGCTCACTAAACTTCATTAAACATCATTTAACCATATGTAAAGGTTTTCATATACATGTACTATCACCTAAGTGTAGTAATTGGTTAACTCCTTATAGAATAGGAGCTAAAATGTTACTTCACAAATGTTACTTCAGGAACCAAAATTTTCTCTCTTTATAAAAATAAATTGTTCAGGATTGTTGCTCAGTATGAAATCTACACCATTAGCTCAAGTAAAAAAGTTCTGTAAGTGTAGACCATGATATGTTATTGGTCATCTGTCTGTCATACAAAGTAACATTCCAAAGATAGCATGAAAATAAATCAATACATGTATATGTACTGGGATAGGTGACAGTATAATATTATACATTAGTCTAATTAGTAGTTTGTCTGTTCCAAAGAAAAAAGGCTAGCTAATATGATCACTAATCCATTGTCGTCGTGCAAAATCTTAAAATTGTTCCATAAAAAGTTATAAGTAGCTGTTGTTTAACAAGGGGCATAATTCTAAAAGCTTTATTTTTGGAGTTATGTCCCTTTTAACAATGAATTTTGTCAAAAGTGGTTATTTTTACAGATGAGGGTCAACACTGTATGCGGTGCTCTTGTTATATCCCCAAAAACGAAGTTTGGGGGGGTATATAGGAGTCACCTGGTGGTCGGTCGGTCTGTCCAGACGTCCATTGCATTTTCCTTGTCGGGAGCATAAGGCCGTGTCTACACCTATTCAAGTTTCTTACATGTCACATTTAGATAAGCTAAATAAACGGCCCTTTCAACATTTTTTCAGGCACAATTTTTACTGAAATGTCTCATTAAGATAGCCCAGGATTTATACCTTTGTCTTTGCAAGACTATCATGTTTCTGTAAAATATGTGAACAAAAAGCGGGAAAATGATACAATTAGCTAAATCAGAATGGCGTTAATTGAAAAAATGTGACAAAAATTTATTTTGATGCAAATTCTTTATTTGATGAAAGTTATTCACTAAATGAACAAGATCATTTTAAATCCATTGTGACTCTACTTAAAAAAAGCGCTCTTTTTTATTTTTTTACAATGTATTTATTTTTTTTTTTTTTTTTGCTCTTCTGTGTAACAGCGTATTGATTCGTTCCTTTGACCAAGACATTGTAATCATTTACTGAAATTCAAAAGGCATGTACACTGAATCAACAACAAAATGTCGGACAATAATGAAAATGACAGCACTATCAAACCTTTGGGCACATGTTTTGTGTCAAACCAGTGTTATCAGTGTCTTGACAGCCAAAAACTTGTAGAAAAATAGAACATGTTCTAACTTTCTTGCAAGGAATTATCTTCTTGGATGTCACATAATTTCTCAATAAAACTCATTCAAGTAGGGTGTCTACACTATCCAATACAAGAGAATATGATACTTGCATTCAAGACTTGGATAGGTGTAGACGGGCTCTAACTGAAGACTAATGGCGGAATTCAATATAACTACATACAATGGTCAAGCACATTGAGAGGAAGTGCAGTGCACAAGAACCATTACTCTATCTTGACTAATTACAGAGTTATTGCCCTTTGTTACTTTTCCTTGTCCGGGGCATAACTTGAAAACTACTGGTTGGAATTAAAAACAACTTCATACAATTGTCAAACACAATAAGGGGAAGTGCAGTGCACAAGAACCATAACTCTATCTTAAGTAATTACAGAGTTATTGCCCTTTGTTACTTTTCCATTGCTTTCTTTTGTCCTGACCATAACTTGAAGACTAATAGTTGGAATTCATTATAACTTCATACAATGGTCAAGCACATTGAGAGGAAGTGCAGTGCACAAGAACCATAACTCTATTTTGACTAATTACAGAGTTATTGCCCTTTGTTACTTTTTCTTGCCCGGGGCATAACTTAAAACTACTGGTTGGAATTAAAAACAACTTCATACAATTGTCAAACACAAAAAGGGGAAGTGCAGTTCACAAGAACCATAACTCTATTTAAAGTAATTACCATTGCATTCTTTTGTCCGGACCTTAACTTGAAGACTAATTGTTGGAATTCATTATAACTTCATACAATTGTCAAGCACATTAAGAGGAAGTGCAGTGCCCAAGAACCATAACTTCATCTTGACTTATTACAGAGTTACTGCCCTTTGTTACTTTTCCTTGTCCAGAGCATGACATGAAAACTATTGGTTGGAATTCAAAACAACTTCATAAAATGGTCAAGCACAATAAGGGGAAGGGCAGTGCACAAGAACCATAACTCCATCTTGACTAATTAGAGAGTTATTGCCCTTTGTTACTTTTCCATTGCTTTGTTTTTACTAATTACAGAGTTATTGCCCTTTGTTACTTTTCCATTGCTTTTTTTGTCCGGATCATAACTTGAAGACTAACGGTTGGAATTCAATATTACTTCATACAATGGTCAAGCACATTGAGAGGAAGTGCAGTGCACAAGAACCATAACTCCATCTTCACTAATTACAGAGTTATTGCCCTTTGTTACTTTTCCTTGTCCAGAGCATAACTTGAAAACTTCTTTTTGGAATTCAAAACTACTTCATACAGTTGTCGAGGACATTAAAAGGAGGTGCAGTGCACAAGAGCCATAACTCTATTTTGACAAAATACAGAGTTACTGCCCTTTGATACTTTTCCTTTTCCGGAGCATAACTTAAAACGTACTGGTTGGAATTCAGGAAATGCAACATACAAGAACCACAACTATCTTTAATTGCCCACAACCATTACTCTTTATTTCAATTCTTTTACAAGGTATTCTGTTACTAGTAACATCCTCATTTCCGAAGCAGTCTTGTGGGGGTATTAATCACATTTAGTGATAGTTCTAGTTATATTTTGTTTTTATTGTAATTATTGTCAAACAAAGTGCAAAATCAATCAAATCTTACCCTTAACATGATGTTGTTTTGTTGTTGTTGTTAAACTTTTACAATAAAAAAAGCCTTTCAAAATGTACAATGTGCTTTATTGCTAATTTTACAAATGTTAAAAAAAGTTCAGTTGTCATGTTTCATGTATTATATACTGAGATAGTGGCAGTATTTATAATGTTAGGTCTGCTTATAGTCCTCAGATATACACTATATTTATACCCCCGCACAACAATGTTGTAAGGGGGGTATACTGGAATCAGCTTGTCCGGCCGTCCGTCCGGCTGTCCATCGGTTTTTTCTTGTCCGCCCAATAACTTAAGATTCCTTTGACCCTTAGTCTTCATATTTGGCATGGAGGTTAGTCATGATTAGTAGATGACCCCTATTGATTTTGAGGTCACTGGGTCAAAGGTCAAGGTCACAGGGACCTTGACTTCAAAAAGCTTGTCCGCCCAATAACTTAAGATTCCTTTGACCTACAGTCTTCATATTTAGCATGGAAGTTAGTCATGATTAGTAGATGACCCCTATTGATTTTGAGGTCACTAGGTCAAAGGTCAAGGTCACAGGGGCCTTGACTTCAAAAAGCTTGTCCGCCCAATAACTTAAGATTCCTTTGACCTACAGTCTTCATATTTGGCATGGAGGTTAGTCATGATTAGTAGATGACCCCTATTGATTTTGAGGTCACTGGGTCAAAGGTCAAGGTCACAGGGGCGTTGACTTCAAAAAGCTTGTCCGCCCAATAACTTAAGATTCCTTTGACCCACAGTCTTCATACTTGGAATGGAGGTTAGTCATGATTAGAAGATGACCCTATTGATTTTGAGGTCACCAGGTCAAAGGTCAAGGTCACAGGGACTTTGATTTTGAAAAGTTTGTCTGCCCAATAACTTTAGATTCTTTTGACCCACAGTCTTCATATTTGGCATGGATGTTGATCATGATTAGTAGATGACCCCTTTTGATTTTGAGGTCACTGGATCAAAGGTCAAGGTCATAGGGACTTTGACTTCAAAAAGTTTGTCCACCCATTTACTTAAGATTCCTTTGACCCACAGTCTTCATATTTGGCATGGATGTTGATCATGACTAAAAGGTGACCCCTATTTATTTTGAAGTCACTGGGTCAAAGGTCAATGTCACAGGGACCTTAACAAAAAAAATATTTTCTTCTCAATTGCTAAAGAATGTCCTGTCCGCAATGTATTGATTTTGACATTTTCACATTTGAAGCATGTAGAATACATAACTTAGCAATGCATTGGCTTAGTAACCTCAGACAGGGAGGTTGTCCTTGAGCTCTAAATGGCCATTGTTGATTCTGACAAAGTGGTATGCGGGGGTATTCACGCCATGATATTGGCAGTTCTAGTTTATGTTGATTATTTGTCTGACATTCCATGACATGTTTTATATCTGTTTATTATTTATGTACATGTTGAATTTGATCACAAGTAATCCACATGTTATACCTACAAATATCATTTCAGAAATGTATTATTAGTAAACATAAATCAATATATTCTTATGTTGTTTTTGTTTGTTTGCTGTTACATCTAAATATATTTTATTGCTGAAAAAAATATTTATATGACAGTTGCAGTAAAATGTTGGGTTGACCCAGTACTCCTCAGTTAAGCAGAGAAAGAAAAACAACATTTATTACATGCTTTTCGGTGGTTTATAGAAATATATCAGTGATATATAACTGGTAATTTCACTGTTTGAAACAGTGAAATTACCACTTTGATAATTTCACTGTTTTGAATTTAAGCCCCTTACGTTGTTTCAGTGAAATACCAGCGTGCACAGTACTAGGTACCAACTTAATGACGTGACGTCGTAAATGACGTCACGTTGTATTATTATTTGTCGTGCTTTTCATTCAGTATTAGGTTAAATGTCTTTTTAAAACGTTTCTTTGCATATAATAAAAAGAAAATTTGTTTAGTTTAGTGTAAGATTGAAATATATTTCACCTTGTGAACACCAAAAGTTCATATTTCACTCGTGGCTGCGCCACTAGTGAAATATACCTTTTGGTGCTCACTCGGTGAAATATATTCCGATCTTACACTGAACTAAACAAATATCCTCTATATCATTAGTTATGCCCCGCACTGTCCATCTGTCTGTCTGTATGTCCCAGACCCACTTCCACAACATTTGTGTCCGGATTGTAACTTTGTCAGCATTGAAGGATTTTAAAATAACTTGGCACAAATGTCTACCACATCATGATGATGTGTCATGTCTTAGACTTATATGTCCCTGCCTCAAAGGTCAAGGTCACACGTACAGTTTAAGGTGCACATTCACACAATTAGAGTTTAAAGATACACACATTCCTGTCCAACTGTAACTTTGTCATGCATGGAAGGATTTTTAGATAACCTAGCATATATGTCAAACTCATCACAAGACCCTTGTGACTACCTCAAATATCAAGGTCACACTTATAATTTGAAGGTACTCTACTCATTCTTTCCTGTCTATGCTGTATGTTTGTAATGCATGGAAAGATTTATGAATGACTTAGCATATATCTCTCCAAAGTCGAGGTTGTTAGTATGCTAGGAATAGCACTTTATCTCACAAGAACAATATTAAGCAATTTCTTTCATTATCTTTTCTTTTCATAATACCTTCCTGCAGTATTTACAAAACCTTTTCATAAGCATTTATCATTTGCATGACAGCTCTTCTTACAAATATTTTTAAAGGCTTGTATGGCTCTGTATAAACAGATGTTTGCTATTGAACCTGGGCCACTATCCAATGAAAAGCGATGTTACAAATATGCAGTATATAAACATGCATACACTTCCAATAAGACAAGTTCTGTCATAGTCTGTAATGACAAATTATTAAATAGTCATTTCCTTTAAATTTTATTTCACTAAGATGCTCTTTGTATGATCTTGTATGACCAAAAGGCAATCTCAATCTTGTATCCTAAAGTATGCTTAAATATAAATAAAAACAAGCAAATCCCAGATGCACACCTACACATGATGATCAACATTCCTGTAAAGTTTTTTGACAAGCACAAACACTTTAAGAGATACATGTGACATAACGTGATAACGCTCGGACGGATGGACAAGGTAAAATTTACACCCCCCCCCCTCCACACACACTACCCTTAGAGCGTAGGGAACAAAAAACTTGCAAGTTTAAATTGTAGAAAACTCGATTTAACAATACTGGAAGGATAAAGAAAAGTATGCTTAATATCCCATGATGTTTTTTTTACGGAATGGTAGGGGTATCTCTCATCTTGTGTTACCGCTCTTCTTTGTGCACGAGTAAAGCTGAAATATGCGGCATGTCATTGTATGACTTGAAGAGTTTTAATGTGTCTTCAAATAAGATCAGCATTGTTAGCTCGACTTTATAAAGTATATGGGGAGCTGTTCTACTCACCTCGGCGTCCGCGTCCTGATTTCATATTAAAGTTTATGTGCAGTAAAACACTTTTTACTGTAACTTCTTAATTTCTTTAGGTATCTTATTCAAACTTCAAATATATGTTCCTTATCATCAATCATATCATATATGACAAGATCAAGATCTATAGCACACATTTTTTTAGAATTATTCCCCTTGAACTTAGAATTTATCCGTGTTACAATAACTTTTTCATTTTCATAATGTTTATACTTCAAACTGAATTTTTGTGTCGCCTTGAAAAGGTGACATATAGGGGTTACTTTTTGTCGGCGGTGTCGGCGGCGGCGGCGTCTGTGTCGGCGTCGTTGTCGTTGTCGGCGTCGGCGTCCGGTAAAGCTTGTCCGGAGCATAACTCAGTCACTTTAAGTCTGATTGACTTCAAACTTGGTATGCATGCTTCTTTCAATAACCCGAAGTGCAGTGCACAAGGACCGGTACTCTGCAGTTCTAATTCTTTGAGTTATTGCCCTTTGTTAATTTTCATACTTTATTTTTTGTCCGGGCCATTTCTCCTAATGTATAAAAGCCATGGACTTGAAACTTCATAGGATGATAGGTCTCATTAAGAAGAAGTGCAGTGCATAAGAACTGGTACTTTGCATTTCTTATTTTTTGAGTTATTGCCCTTTGTTTATTTCCATACTTAACTTTTTGTCCAGGCATTTCTCTGAAAGTATAAAAATTATGGACTTGAAACTTCATAGGATGATAGATTTCATTAAAAAGAAGTGCAGTGCATAAAAACTGATTACTCAGCATTTCTTATTTTGAGTTATGCCCTTTGTTGCTTTTCTACCTTTATTTTTGTCCTGGTCATTCTCCTCAAGTATCCGAAAGGATGGACATGAAACATCATTGAAGATCTCTATTGGACAAGAAGTGCAGTGTCACAGAAACTGCTGCTCTGCCACTTATTACCTTTTTAGTTATTGCCCTTTTGTTCATTTTCATATTTCATTTTTGTCCTGGCCATTTCCCCTAAACTACATTGTTCACAAGGCACACTACGACTCCCGCGAGCTCTAGTGTTACACTATCACACCCACTATCATGGCATCAATCAATCGCAGCACCCTTGAATTCGTAACTCTAGCATCCGCACACTCACATCTCTCTAAACTTAACCCCACCCTACCAACTCCCCACTTTCAACCTCAGATTTTGTCTCTATCAACATAGTCTCATTACTTGCACACACACACCTTTTCTATACTCACTACTCTTTTACAGGATGAACATTAAACGTTTTTTAACCATGTACATTAAGCTCATTACTAATATCACCACCTCACATACTACATGATAATTGTGAAACACCACCAGCAGCTTACAAACAGAAAGAATACTACCATACTAACCCACACACCCAACACCTCCCTAAACTACAGGACTCATATACAACATCTTTTCGGCTATGCCGAAACCTCACCAACCATTCCTCTACACCACGCGTAACTGAAAACTACCACCACATCTCGTCATTCTCCTACACACACACACACTCATGTTCTCCCACACTACACCCCATTTGACTAGACAATAACCTACGATAAACTACATACCCGCGCAGCTTTCTAATACTTCGACTTCTCACAAACAGCACAACGCACACTCTACCACACAGCTCGACCTACACACTCCTCAACCCACGCCTACGTCACTCTCCGCTGAAAACCACTCGTCGCGCTCCAGCACCGCTTCCGTCTTCCGCGTTACAACTCTACTCCTCCCTCTGTCGAATGTTTTACACCGTTCCTGCCAGCCCACAACCCCGACTCACGCCCCGTGACTCCCCCCCCCCCCGAGCCGATTCTGAACCAACTCACACCAGCGCGCTCACGTCCATCATCACTCCCTCCGTGCGCCGCGCGTTTTCTCTTCTCTATTCCTACACACAATGACACATCCTACGCCACCATCACTCATCTTCACAAGTAACGTCGTTCGTTCACTCACTGGTACGCCACCGCGGCAATCTCGCACCTCATTCACTGTCGCGGTTTCTACTGTGGGTCTAGTTGAATTCGTCTGGTGTTTCAGCTAGGTATTTAGTGCGTGATTCTGGGCCACACCAACAAAGTCTTGATACAAATGAAGTTTTTGTGTCTGAACCTTTTTCTGTGTTGCGGGAACTTTCATTTGCTGTTGGTTTGCTATTAATAACTTTTTTCTTTTTACCCTTATTTGAATTGGAGACATTCTTTTTAAACTCTGTCTTTTTCTGTAAATCAGACACTTTTTCAACATACTTTTGTGTTGGAGAAGAATTTTCAATATCTGTCAACTCGTTCATATCTTGTTTTATTGGTGACTTTGACCACTGTGTATTTTTGATGTGTCTCCGCGTTCGTCGTCCTCGATGCCTACCTCTTGGCATTGCATACAATTGCAGAAAAAATCTGAAATAAAAATCACCTTATAGACTTATTAATGGAGTCATAAATGTACATATGTAACTGTTAGCAAATTAAAGGTAGATAGAGTTTTGTAAGCATTAATAACACAGAACTTCGGACCCCGCCCACGACTACAAGTTATCAGGTTGGAAAGTTTTCTTACAGTTTTGTTTATTATGATCACTTCAGAAAAATAAAATAGAAAAACACATAAAAAGGTAAGCAATTGTTTTTGATGTGACAAAGCTATATTCTGATTTTTGTTTGTTCTGGGTCAGAATCTGTATTGCCAATACAGAAAAAGCACAAGATCTCGGCTCGTAGTACAATGCATTAGTAAAGATAGACAAAAAAACCCTGTAAAGTTCTAGCATGCATAATATCAGCAACGGCTAATCATTTGCAAATTTTTAAGGCTTTTCATTTTTTTTATCATTCCATGGTTTATCTGCTCCCGAACTCCCGTTTTTCATCCAATCGATTCAGTAATATAAAATTGCCCGCCATTTTTCTATTTCAGGCATGTGCAATGAGCGATACCAGTTATAGACTACCGGAGGGGAGCAAATTCGCTCAACTTTACAAAATAAAACATTTTATTGAACGAATTGAATAGAATTATATTATGCGAGCAGTTTTTGTGGATTGGTGGATTTTTAGAAAAAAAATCTGTCT